GAGAGAATCTGATTCATGTTCCTAAATGTCCTTCAGTGTGGGTCCATCCACTGGTCCCAACAAGAATTCCACCCCTGTAATACACTATCTTTCCTCCTTTCAGCAACCATCAACTGCAAAAGTTTCTTAGATTGGTTTGGATTTCTTATCCACTTCACCATATCTATGCTGAGATTTTGTATTTGTATTTTTTCTGATATTTCTATGCTTTCTACCAATAATATACACAAATCATACAGACATCTTAACCCTCTCTCAAACTCTCATTATATTTTGAAGTTTTCTTTATAATCCAATCACTGGCCCAAGATTTTTGTTTCTGCAATTCTTGCTTCCCACAACTTACCACCTGTTTCCTGTCTTTAAGTAATTAATCTGTCAGGCTCCTTGCTATATTTTGCTTCCCAGAGTGTCCAAGAATTCTGCTCCTTGCATCACTGGCTGAGGTTTTCCTTCTTTGGATTTAGCAATATGACTGTCAGTTTAGTCCAGTGTAAGATCCTCCTGCCATGCTCCATCAGGAGCACAGGATAATTCTGTCTGCCTATTTGGGTCTTGAATCACTGCTTTAATTAACATTAAAATTGCCAATTCTGATTCTCCTTGCTTAAATAGTCACAGAAATAGAAAATGTTTTAGTAGTTATTTTCCTTCTAGAATTCAGTTATTTAAGGTATTAGCAGGTGAAATGAAACAACAAAGTGACTTTAAAAAGCATTCACTCGGGGAGCAAGGAATAAAGATAGTATCATATGCATGGGAAATACTAGAGAGAAAGACTGATCTCCATGAAACAAACTGAGTGCAGATGGATAGATCATCTTTTTCTTCAGGGACCAGTGTAGATTCCATCATGTAGCCTTCATGCATGTTTATAAAGGAACAAAGAGAGGAATTTTAAAATTGTAAAAGTGCTTCAGAAATGTGCTTACTTAATGGCATAAGTAGTTGCCACCTTCCTTAAACACAGACAAAGGAAATCTACTAAAATATTTTGCACATTTTATATTTATGTACAATACATATATTTAATGTATTGATAAAAAATCTCATTCCATTGTCCTTCCATATTTTATTAAAGACACAATTTAACCAGTCAGAAAAGGATATGCAATCATAACAGGATGGGTCAAGTGTAATTTAACAATCACTTTCCACAAAGTCTATGGTCTTGGGTGCAGGTATTGTACAATATCAGAATTAAGCAGATCAGTACTGCTTACATACAGCCTGGGTGCTTAGAACAGCATTTAGTGCTGGCACTCCTAGTAGATGTGACTAAGGAAAAATCTATAGTCTCCATCTTGTCTGGGTTTAACCTGATGAGGTCTGATCTTAACCCAGCAGTTTTGAGACAAGAGCACACAATGATTTGCTTGAGAGGACAGCATCAAGAAAAGGTAGTTACATAGAACAAAGAATGTGATGATATATTATGTGATTATTTCTTCAAATCTCCATACTGTTTAGCCTGTCACCACCTACCTTGTCTATTAACATGGAATGTGGGGACGGTAACATAGGTTTTGCACATACTCAAAGAATTAGAGTTACAAGTAGATAAATTATACCTTCATAAAATTGTTTAAATTAATGTAATTGAAAAGAATGAAATGATAGTTGAATCTGTATCCACTTAAAAATGATTCAAAGACCTCAAAATAAGTTGTTGGCCCCTTCCAATATTGTTTCTATGAGATCTCCTGTCGATGAAATTCTTTCCAGGTCTCAGATTTTTGGTGCTATTTCTTCCATTTGGAATGATTATCTTTACACTCTTATAATTGTTTCTGAAATTCTCACTCATCTTTAATGCACCATAGAATGTCATTTCTTGGAAGAAGCATCCCTCACCTATATCATCCATAGTAAAACCAGATATGTATGAAATTAGCCTCCTATCATTCCATCATAATTATCAACACTTCATGACATTTCTATCATGTTTCTGCCATGGATTGTATATATATGATTTTTATAGAAGGTATAAATAAAAATATTTTTCCAGTTAAAAATTTTA